TGATTGATGCATTAGGTTATAAGAGTTGAATGAAACCACTTGATGCATGTACATTCCTTGTCCGTATATTACACCTTTAACCGGTATAGGTCCGTGATCGAATATCTATATGCTTAGCCATGCTTAGACCGGTAGAAGTCGGGTGATGTCCTGTCACCGCGAGATATAGGTGGATACCGAGCACGGTTGGCTATATCTCGCTATTGTGGAATGAACCATGAGGTAAAAGTAAATTGAGACCGGACGGAGATCGATAGGGAAGCAACAAGGCATGGAGGTCTTGGGTGTGGACTTATCCCGTCAGGTCGATTAAGGACCGCACTGTTGTTGGCGCTTCGACAAGATTGAACGCATGCCTCTCACTTAGCTGGCCGGATAATTCGCTTCCGACCGCTGGCCGAGTAATTCAACTCAGGCCGGAATCGCTCATAGCGCCTTCCGGGAACGACGACCGAGAGCCCAAGGGCGTTTTGGCTCGAGCATCCCGGCATCCGGTGTTCCAGATTAGCGCGCGTGACTTTAACCCGCCAAATGTGTACCGAGTTGTACCAAAGGTGACCTAAGACTATCGTGGTCGGTAGATCTGGTTTGTGTTAGGAATAAATTCCCAACCGGTTGAAATCGATTCGAATCGCCGCCTCTCCCGGATAGTGAGAAACTTGGCTAGTCCCAACATCGTAGCAAACTATATTATGAAACATGGTGGTTCGATGAATATGGAATTACAATACCTGCTATGGTTACTATTGTATGCTTCTAAATGATATCCCACATGTTTGGCACAGGATAGTTGCTAATCTAGAAATGGATAGTTATAATTAACTTGATAAAGGAATCATAATTTTTCAACGGGTAATTGCCTTTTTCGCAAAATGTTGTCAAGTTACGTCCACTTATACAGCCTTGCATGATCCTTGGAGTCACTTTTATTTTCTGGTTCATGACGGGTAAGTCTAGCTGAGTACCTTCTCGTACTCAGGGTTTATTTTTCCCAATGTTGCAGATGGCACTGTGTATCATGGTTATTGCAAGAGTTGCTTCTATCCCGCTGTGGATGAGGAGTAAGCCTTGGGCAGGCTTCTTTAGTAATTCCTATCTTTGCTTTTGTGGATCGTGATCTGGCATGGCACTGTATCAAACTATGTTGGAAACTTATCTTCGAACTTATTTGCTTCCGCTTTAATTATCAAACTCGGTTTGTAATAACTTTTTATTCGTACTCTGATGATGAAAAGTATCTGTGAACTTTATGTAATATGTGGCATGTATGTTGAATCCTGTACGATCTTGGTTGTTGTAAATCGTTTATCGAGACCCGTCGTGGTACTCGACGGACTACCGGGTTTATATGGGTTCAAGTATGACAGTGCGACCGCTTGCGGATTGCCATTGTACTTGTATTCTTATAAATTGGTCGGTTCTGCGACATAGTCGGAGCTTAGCGGTGTCAATTCACGTACGAAGACGTGCGCCGTGGTTGTCGAAGGATGTCGACGCGATCCATCGAGTTAACGCGAAGGATGTTGATCTTGAGTTACGTCAGCTGGTTCGCCCTAGATCAACATGTACTCCCCTACCTAGCGCGCCAACTGTCGACAGAATATCGTCGGCAGTCCTCCGAGGGGTATCCCACGAAGGTAGATTGATCGGTGGAGGTGCGCGTGATCAGAAACCGGATGGTGACACAAGGCGCAGAGATAGCGATTTAGACATGTTTGGGCCGTCTGATCGACATAATACCCTACGTCCTGTGTCTTTGATGTATTGTATTGAGTATGAGATGTATGTAGATCTATGTCCCCTAGGGGACCCTGCCTCTCCTTATATAATATGGAGGGGTAAGGTTACAAAAAAAGTAGCCTATTTGGTACTATACAATATCTTACGGTGCACGTTGACCAGTGTTGTGCACGCCATGATCTTGTGGGCTGGGCCACCCCTAGGGGCACAGCCCATGTGACATGTCGTGGGTATCTGGGGTCGTACCCCCTACAGGCTCCGACCAGGTCTCTTGGCCGGAGGTACCGGTCGAGGACCGGATCGTGGTCTCGGCTCGTCATTGTGTATCTCGGCCGGCCCAGACATGAGTTGTCGCTGCGCTGCCTGCTGGGCCAAGTATTGCAGGGAAGCGGGTCCATTGGGGACCCTGGGTTTATGAAGCCGACACAAATGTTGCTAATATTTTCTACAAACGTAGTTAAACTTAAGAAAGTTTGATTAGGACAAATAATAAGGCGGCAGATAAAAAGGGACAAAGGAAGTGCCCACTAAAACCACATATGCAGTGGTATAGATTTGTGCCCATATCTATGCCCATATGAGTAGCGCATATATACCCATGGATGTTCATAATACCAAGAAGAAATATACAACTACCGTAACCAACAAATAATTAGCAAACAACTAATTGAGTATATTCGGACATATGAGATAAGGAAGAGTGCGAGCGAGGACATCGCATAATGATTATGGTTAAGCTAAGCAGACTAGCGAGTAAAAAGGTGGACGGTAGAGGAAACTCGGGAGAAAAATAATAAAGTTTGCTCATTAAAAGTAGCTCCAATACAGTGGCTTTGATGTATGCTTCGTCAGATCGCTCAGATGAGACGTCTTGTAGGTGGTAGTGGTACCTGCAGGAACTACAATAGCCTTAGGAAAAAGAAGACAATGGAAATTATGAGGCAAAAACAAAATATTGGTTATGTGAGAGACGAGAGGGGACAACAAAAATATCCTTGTGTTGGGTGGACTTTAGCTCAAAGTTTTTTTGTTTTTTGTTTTTTGTATTTAGACCTACTATTTTGAATGAAGCCACCGTTTCTATATGTCAGCATTGTCAATGCCCTAAAACTCTACTTGATACTAAACTCTTTTGGTGTAAATTGTTACTTGGATAAGAGAAAAGTACTGCTGTAAACCTGTAAGATACGTATACTAGCTATATAGGCTATAACAACATGATTATTTTCACACTTTTCCTAAAAAGCAGGCGCCTAAAATCTATCTTTGGTTCAGGCGATAAACTGATCCTTTGATCTTGCTTCAAGATTAGCACAACTTTCTATTAGATCTTCATCTCATGGTTCACGTCCGTTGCCTGAACCGATGTTATTTTTAAGCACCTGAAAAATAGCAAATCCCTTATTTTCATGGTACAGCCAAAGCATGTTCCTGCCCCGCTATGACTCGTCGTCTCGTTTGCTTCCATTTCCAGGATTCCTCGGCGGCACACGGCAGCGCGGCGTAGCATATTCCCCTGTTCGCTGAGGGGCTAGATAAGCGTAGCTTCAACGGCCTCCGTTTCCCTTTCACTTATATTTTTCATTTTATATATATGACATATGACTCGAATCTTGGAATGACACGTAGACGGTCACCTGTTAATTAATAGTTAATCATGTCCTAATCCACCGTGGGTTAGTGGTGCACGCAGAGACGAGCTACAGCGTAGCATCTGAATTTTGAAGCTTCTACCAATGATCACCACCACACCACCACACGTCCACACACCAACTACCAGTCTCCCACTCCCACGGGCCACGCCCGTGCTCCCACGGCCATGCCCAGGGCCAGCCGTCACGTCACGTCTCGCCCCCACTGTCCTCTCCCCGTCCGCACCTCCCTTCTTTCTCCGGGCGCGGCGCTCCACCAAACCAAGAACGCACCAAGCCCGCCCGCTCCCAGGACCACGCCGCCCGTGGCCCCGTGCCGTCGAGAAAATTCGCGATGCGCAAGTGGTGGCACGGCCTCACGGCCGCCGGCGCCTTGCTCGCCGCCCTCGACGCCGCGCTGGCTCTCACCGTGGCCGGGCTGCGGGCGGCGACGTTGCACACGCACGGGCAGCCGTCGTCGTCGGCCGCTAACTCCCGGCGGCTGCCGCTGCGGTTCGGGCCAGGGGGAGTGTTCAAGGTGGCCCTGTTCGTGGACCTGCATTACGGCGAGGACGCGTGGACCGACTGGGGCCCCGCGCAGGACGTCGCGTCCGACCGCGTCATGGCCGCCGAGAACCCAGGTCCCTGCCGATGCCAATGCTTTGTTTCCCTTTCATCCCGCGTTCTGCTGGCATTCTCCCACTCCACTCAAATTCCTCTGTCGTCTCTGCCGCGGCGCGAAATCCTCAATCAGACTTCGTGGTGTACCTCGGCGACCTGGTGACGGCGAACAACCTCCCGATCCCCAACGCGAGCCTGTACTGGGACCGCGCCATCTCAGCCTCCCGAAGCCGGGGCGTCCCGTGGGCGACGGTGTTCGGCAACCACGACGACATGCCCTTCGAGTGGCCGCCCAAGTGGATTTCCCCCGACGGCGTCCCGCCGCCGCGCTGCCCGGCGCTGCCGACGAGCACACCGGATTCAGGTGAGCTCACCAGCTTTCACCTCGGCACGAGATGACAGACACGACACCCCCTCTGCCGAATTCCTTCGTTGCGCCTCTGATTCTGTCTGAGCGTGGTGACTGGCCATGAAGGGTGCAGCTTCCGAGGGACTCCCCGGACCGACCTCATGGCGGCGGAGACCGTCGCCAACAGGCAGCTGTCCTACTCCTCCAGCGGGCCCAGGGAGCTGAGGCCCGGCGTCTCCAACTACGTCCTGCAGGTGCTCTCGCGACGACGAACACGCGACCATGATCACGACCCGGCCCTGCTCATGTACTTCCTCGACTCAGGCGGTGGGTCGTACACCGAAGTGGTGTCCAGCGCTCAGGTCAAATGGTTTCAGAGCCAGTCCCAGTTCCTGAATCCAAATGGAAGGTTAGAAATGGCTGTCAGCAATTTTAATCTCGCAAACTTTTACTCCGGGAAAAAAACTGTTTTTTCCCATCATAATCATAATAATATCAATATCAGCCACCATGTTCGCTTCATGCTTATCAGCCATGCTTATCAGTCATGATACAGTGTTTTTCTCTCGTAACAAAACATTATCAACCGGTTTATAAGCCACAGAAACGACCAAGCGAACCGGGTGAGCATCATCCTCTCTTTTTTTTGAGTCCTGCAGGATCCCTGAGCTCATCTTCTGGCATATACCAAGCACGGCGTACGTCATGGTAGGTCCAAAGGCCAAGTCAGAGATAAGGAAGCCCTGCGTTGGCTCCATCAACAAGGAGGAAGTGGCGCCACAGGCAGCTGAATGGGGCATGATGGATGCTCTCGCCAAGAGGCCGTCAGTTAAGGTGCGTCAGTGTCTGGTTCAGATAATAAGCAACTGAATCCATCACTGTTCAGGTGCTTGGATCAGAACATTTGTATTGGATTGGAAGAGGGAGTACTAGTATCACACACTCACACTGTTGTCTTTTGATTGATGGCAGGCAGTGTTTGTTGGGCACAACCACGGGCTGGACTGGTGCTGCCCCTACGAGGAGCTGTGGCTGTGCTTCGCACGGCACACGGGGTACGGGGGATACGGTGACTGGCCCAAAGGAGCTAGGATCATCCAGGTCACGGAAGACCCGTTCTCGGCCGTGTCATGGATAGGGATGGAGAACGGGAGCAGGCACAGCGATGTTACGCTCAGCTCCTGAATCCATATCTGCATGGGCTTCTTGTACATAGAAGATTTTTTTTCCTTTAAAAAAAAAGAGCACCACAGGATCGAGGTGCTGTTTGATGTAAAAAATTTGCAAAGCATGGACCATGGTCTTTTTTTAATCACGTTTCCTCAGCTTCAGTCGCCTGAGCTCTCAGACGACGTGTAGAGAGCACCGTCCGCTACTTTGTTGCTGAGCTGATGGAAGGAGGCACAAAGCGAATGACCACTGCTTAGCAAACGTCGCCTGATTTTCTTGGAAAACCAGGCGCCTGTACAATAGCAACTCCCTTTTTTAATATAAAATGGTTGGGTTGTGGTATTTCTGTGTGTTTATTTGTAAAAATGGCCGGACGGTTACAGTTCAGCAGCCTTAGTGCAGGATCACTAGTTTTGGTGATTAAATGCTTTTCCGATCAAGAAGGAAAATACGGCAGTGCTGAGTTTATATCTTTTCCTTTTTATTATGAATCTATATTTTGGCTTTTAAGTTTTAGTCTTTTATTGGTTGATGCAATTTTTTATCCTCATGTCAAACTGTAGCTATTTCATTGTATCTTTTATCCAAAATTTCCTTTATGCTTACCTATGAAAATAGATTATAGGTCCTAGGCTTCACATCTGTTGTTGTTGTTGTTGTTGTGAGAACATCTTGGATTTCCCTTTATCTTTTCTAATGCGTCTTATAAGGATTAATATAGATAATCATCAAGGGCCACTAATCAATAATCTTAAAATATGTGTTGTCATCCTTTACACTGTGCCTCCCTAGGTCTTCAATATGTTTCACTTGAAATCTAATACAAGTTTAAGTTATATCAAACTCATGTTGCTTGCATACCTTTTTGTGACATCAAAAACTTTTATTTTACCTTTCACTTTTGATCTTGTTAGTTGTTGTAATTCTTTTATCTACACAAATTAAGTTGAAACTCTAGTTCTTGTTGTATATTTTTATTAGAAGTTTTCATTTTGTATTTTTTTTAGAAAAACTATATTCTAAGTCATCATAGACTACACCTCTCAATTGCTACAGTGGCACGCAGAGTAATTTCAGCTCAAGCCATGGCTTTGAAGATGTTGATTTTGCTATATCAAAGAATTACATATGCAATAGTGTTGTTTTATAGAAACATAGTACTTGAAGTAAAATTAGTAGTTGATTGATATGTCCCAACATTTTCGATCAAAATATATAATCTTATCCAAAGTATCAACTTACAAAAAAATTTGTCAAAGAGTAACGATATATCTAATGTGGATTACCTATGTCATCGGTATGTGGTAATAACTTACCGAGGCTAACGGAAAACATATGAAAAAAATTCAAAAAAAAATATAGCCCGATTTACCTCTGTCGACGTGGCCATGTGTCACACAAAACCACCATCTAGAAACCACCCACGATAAAAAAAATTAAATACTTTAAAATTTTGAGAAGGTTTTTAAAAGTAAATCCGGGTATTGTGAACGTTGACGGGTTAAAAGCACTTTTTCCTTAGCCGTGTGCATACTGTGCAAGCTGGGCTTGACAGAGAGCACGCGCGATGGGCCAGAGTACGTGATGGGCCACATTGCAGATCGTTAGGACCTCATGACAGGCTGGTTTCACTGACTCGGCCGGCGCCCAGCACGCACGGTCTCCTCAGTTCTCTCACCTCTTGGCCCCAAACAAACTAACAAAGTCAGGCGATGTAACACCCTAAAAATTACAATTTTGAAAATAGGATTAAAATGGGTTATTTGTGAATTTTTGTGCACATAAAATATAGAAAAAGAATATTTTTCATTATATTAAAATACATCATAAGAAGTAGCAACTTGGATGTGCATACATGTATGTGCATTTGATTTATTTGGTTGAGTGGTTTTGATTAAAATTCAAAATGGTTTGAATTGCTTTTGGAAATAAATTAAAAATGGTTTTGATGTAAAAGAAAAGAAAGAAAAAGAGAATTGGAAAATAAAAGAGTTTAAAAAGTTGCAAAATTTATTTTTGAAAACCTACCAAGAGTTCTTATCCTATTTTTGAATCGAAAGTATATTCAAAATAATATTTGAATTCGATTTGGTTCATATTTGAATTTGGTTTTAAAATAAGAAAAGAAAACGATTTGGAAAAAAATAGAAACCTCCTCTCTCACTTCTGGCCCGAAGGCCCAGCTCCCTCTCCTCTCCCTTTGCTTCCCCGCAGCCCGTAACCGGCCCGCTCCTCCCTTCCCCCTCCTTCTCGGGCCCGAAGGCCATGAGGCCGGCCCAGCCAAGCCAACGGTCGTAGCCAATGGTAGTTCCGCTTCCCTTTCTTCCTCTCTCTCGCCGATAGCTCGGTCCCGCACCTTGACTCGCTGCCACCCAGGGCCCGCACGTCAGTCCCTTCTCCTACTTCTCGTCATCGATGCGGACACTACTCCCGCCGTCGAGTCCGCCTCCGCCACGCCACGTCTTGCCTTGCGCCGCACTTTGTTTCCCGGCCATAAATAGCGAGCCTCCGCGCCCGTGCCGTCCCCCACCGAGTCCTGGAGCAAGCCGCAGCGCCACCTGTGCCCTAGCGCCACCCATCCGATTCCGCCGATAAAGCTCTACGCCGCCGTGCCAATTAGCCGCTCCATCGTCCCTGTAAGTATCTTCTCTAGCTTTTAGTCGAGTTTGCGAACCCGCAGAACCCCTTAACTCCCTCTGTCTCGCTCTGTTTTTGTCTCCCTCGCTACGCTGTTGCTCCGCTGCTGCCATTGCTCGTCACCAGTAGCCATTGCTCACGCTTAGCCGCTGTAGATGGCCATGTTGAGTTCGCCGTGGCCCAATCTATCTCCTAGAGCCAACCCTGAGTCCAATTTAGTTCCATAGCGTTTTCCCCTAATTTCTCTGATGAGAAATCGCCAACACCGATGAAATCGCCGCCTCCCGATCTCTGTTCCGGCCAGCCCCGGAGCCACCGCAGCCGTTCGATTTAGGATCAACGGTTAAAAATAGATCGTACCCCTTCGCGAGTCGTTTTGCTAAAGAGTCCTCCAAGTTTTTAAGTATATAACCCACCGTCCCTGTGGTTTTGCTAAGAAGCCCCTGTGTTTTGCCGATTTAGAACCCGCGGTCCCGGGCCCAAATTCAAATTTTGATTGTAAATATTTTAATTTGAAATTAAGTTCTGTTTATTTACAAGAATGTCACTATCTTCATTATGCCATATCTTCTCCGTTTTAACTTCGATTTAACCCGTTCAACTTGCGTTAGGTTCATAATTCCATAATCTACATGTTCATACTACTGTTAGATATATTTTCAACTTTTAAAATTTGATGTTAAATTTATTCTATTATTTTATTAAAGAAAATCTTGTTTAATTCATATCTTCTACATTTTAGCTCCGATTTGACCTGTTCAAGTTGCGCTAGATTCATTACAATGAGATCTACGCGTTAGTAACAATGTTTATCTTGTCACTATTTCTAAAATTTCATGGTTTAAACTCTAATTTAAATAATAATTATGCAACTGGATTTTATAAATAAAATATGATTTATTTTACTTTAGTTTTATAATTCAAATCTAAATTTGACTTAATTTAATTTATATAAGCTTTTATATAGCTAAAACACATGAAACTTATAGTTTTATATTTTCTCTTATGAGTAGATCTTTTGGTAGCCGTTTTTTTAAAACCGTAGCTTCGATTAGTGTGTTTTTCGTGTCTGTGTTCGTAGCGAGACGTAGATTCGTTTTATAAACTTTTCATCTTGATTTTATGTTTGGTGTACTATTCTAATTTAGATCTATTGTTTGCATCGTCTATGATTGTATGGATGCTTGTGTGGTGCTTTATGATCATGTCCAGTCGGTGAGCTTTGCGTTGGTGATATAAAAGAAGTTGGTGATCCAGTAGAAGTTCTTTGAAGGTTACAATTCAATAGAAGAAGGATTTGAGTTTAAGGAAAATATAGCATGAGATCTTTCTTATTGTCCTATTCACCTTAATATTATTTTAATCATATGCATGTGTCTACCTTGGCAACCGTAGTAATTTTTCTAGCTATTTGATATCCTGGTTTCCTTGATTCCTATGGGTTATTGCATTGGGTAGTATGATGCTAGTGCTCAATTAAAAACCATGATCTTGTAACTTAACTAATGATATATGCAATAAACACTAAAAGATGTTTTTAGCAACATGGAACCAGGAGGTTAGGGTATTGGGCTATTTTTATGGTGCTCTAGATTCCTCTTCATAAGGACTTATCTGTAAGTAATCATCCAGGACTTACAGTACAGCTGTGAAGGCTACATGGCTCTGATTTTAGCTCAGTGTGAGAACCTTTTCTAACTTGTTAGTGGTTACCATTAGTGGCGTAAGAATGGCTTGCCGAATCGGATATAGTGCGGCCTCTGTCCCCTTATGTATAGGCTACGCGTCATTATGCCATCGGAAAGGGGTGCTCTACGTTTGTTTACCGAGTGAATCTAATGGCCCTAACTTGTTAGACGAACTTTTAAAAGGCTTCATAGTGAACCCTGCGGACCTTCCTTGGAAGTGGGTCAAGAGATTAGCTACCCCAGGCGAAATGGTAAATCACGACTCACAGTGAAAGTGTACAACCTCTGCAGAGTGTAAAACTGGTATATCAGCCGTGCTCTCGGTCACGAGCGGCCTTAAAACCCTTACGAAATAGATGATGAACACTGATGATACTGATGATGAAGATGCTCACTAATGAAAACTGTTTGTGCTATTCATTATTCATGTTTACTTGATTATGTGTTTATATGGGCTTGTAAATAAACTTGTTGGCACCCTATTTCTAAAATTATGACTCAATAAAAGCTAATCGTAGTTAACCAGTGTCAGCTTTTTGAGTCTCATCTATATTATATTTGTTGAGTACGATATGTACTTACCCTTGCTTTACTTTTTAAATCTTTAGAAAAATCCCGGATGGGTACCAGATTGCTAGTCTGGAGGAGTTAGACCTGTGATCAACCAGTCAGTTGTCCCTGTGGATTGAAGTCTTCGTCCGAAGATCAGAGTTATCTTTTCGCTATTTGTTGTCTAAGATTATATCCTTTAGACTAAATACGTTATATATTGAACATTGTCTTTTGATATTATCCTTATTTGTAGTTATATATGAGGTTTGACTTCCTGAGCTCACAAATAGTGCGTATCTGATTTTATTCTTGAAACCGAGTGATATAAGCGAGCACGCAGCACAGGCGCGTGGCTTCTTCCAATGTCTGAACAGTGTTCACGACTCCCTCCGCACCCCTGAAACCGACGGGGCGACGGGGAGAGGCTGCGACGTAAGCTGGCAACTGGCATGCACACGACGCGGAGGGCGGGGGCTTTCGCAACCGGGCAAGCAGAGCAGCAGACGCAACAAGCAACAAGTCGCAGACCGTCAAACGGGGCAGGGGGCCCGGTCAGCTCGTCCAGGAATTCCACGAGCCCGTCCAACGCGCGCCTTGGTATTCTACGTGGTACATGTAGCGTCCGGCACCAGCGGCCGCGATCGGCGAAGGACCTCCTCGCCGCGCATGCGCCCGCCGCCGCTCGGTGTGGTGTGTGTTAGGCCACCCGGGATCGCGACCGCCGCGTTCGGATGCGCGGCCTTCATTCCTCGCCGCATACATACGGTTAGTCCCACATCGGTAATGGATGACTATCAACTAGTGCATATGTGCTATAACTAAACTAAACTAGGGAGAGATGGCAACGCTGCGTAGACGTCGTAGTGGTGGAAACTTGGAAAATCCAACCCATCGACCGGAGACTTTGCTGAATGGCTATTATCGTGTGACCTGCCCAACTGGATACTGCCCTGCTGGCCGCCTTGGAACGGCCTGCATTGCTCCTAGCTATAAATAGGGCCTCGATTCTGCATGCAGAGTGCAGTGTAGTGCAGCATCGTTTACAGTTACCTGTTTGTAACTGCTGCAAACATAGGAGTACAAGTGATCCTGATACTGATCCTGATCCTGATCCTTCCAAGATGGCGAAGCAGGGTGTGGCTTCCATGCTTGCACTGGCATTGCTTCTCGGGGCATTTGCAGCCATTCCTACAGGTACACAGTACTACGCGACCCATGTGCTGTCAAACTCTTAGGTTCATGTGTAGCTGTCCATACCATACGTAATAATCGATGATCTGCATGGTTGACAGGAGTGCAATCCATCGGCGTGTGCTACGGCGTGAACGGCGACAACCTGCCATCGGCGAGCGACGTGGTGCAGCTGTACCAGTCCAACGGCATCAACCTGATGCGCATCTACTTTCCCGACACCAACGCTCTCAACGCGCTGAGCGGCAGCAACATCGGCGTGATCATGGACGTGCCCAACTCGGAGCTCTCCTCGCTGGCCTCCGACCCGAGCGCGGCGGCCACGTGGGTGCAGAGCAACGTGCAGGCGTTCCCGGGGGTCAACTTCAAGTACATCGCCGTGGGCAACGAGGTCTCCGGCGGGGACACCAACAGCATCCTCCCCGCCATGCAGAACGTCAACTCCGCGCTGGCCAACGCCGGGCTCGGAGGCATCAAGGTGTCCACGGCGGTGCAGAGCGGCGTCACCCAGGGGTTCCCGCCGTCGCAGGGCAGCTTCTCGCAGGGGTACATGGGACCCATCGCGCAGTACCTGCAGAGCACGGGGGCGCCGCTGCTCTGCAACGTGTACCCGTACTTCTCCTACACGGGCAACGAGGCCCAGATCGACCTCAGCTACGCGCTCTTCACGTCGCCGGGGACCGTCGTGCAGGACGGCGGCAACGCGTACCAGAACCTCTTCGACGCGCTCGTCGACACCTTCGTCTCCGCGCTCGAGAACGCCGGCGCCGGGAACGTCGGCGTCGTCGTTTCCGAGAGCGGGTGGCCGTCGGCTGGCGGCGACGCCGCCACTCCGGGGAACGCGCAGACCTACAATCAGAACCTCATCAACCATGTCGGGCAGGGCACGCCCAAGCGCCCTGGATCCATCGAGACCTACATCTTCGCCATGTTCAACGAGGACCAGAAGCCTGGAGCCGAGACGGAGAGGCACTTCGGACTCTTCAACCCGGACAAATCCCCGGCGTACCCCATCAATTTCTCCTAAAAAACAAGTGGGACGCACTCGCTGGTCCATATATACACGATCTATCGAACAAAGACATATATAATTTAATAACGAGATATATAGATATACACATATATACCCTATACTACATACGAAAACATTGAATAAACTGCCTGTAAAATGCAAAGTGCATCCATGTAAGGCAAGTGCTTCGATTATTTCGTAAAGATGAATAACAAGACGTATTTCTTCTTTGCCCATGTAGTTATATATATGCTTTCTCCTAATTTCGTCTTTGACATTATGCATCGATCATTATTGAATGGGACTAGTCTAGAATCAATTAAAATTAGGTTCAAAATTAGATACATATCATCTTGAAAATTTGAGAGATTTAAAAACCTGACAGGGAATTTGTAAAACTCATAACTACTAAACTTGTTGGCCTAAAATCATGAAATTTTACGACCAACAAGATAAGAAAGTTATCTACAACTTTTGTATTCACCACTTTCACAGAAAAACATCATTTTCACCACGAAAGTATTAACTCAACAGAAACTGATCTAGCGGCCATTTCAGCACGTATAAAAAAAGGTTCTTCACTTGATTCAACAACGACACAAATAGATAGATCAAACACTTAGCTCACAACTGCTATTAACATGGTTAACAAACATTAGCCATAATAAACAGGGAAGCACACTAAACACCACATTAAAACAGGGAGGTCACGTAGGGATGTTCATCTTTTTTTTTCATTCAAAGGACACTTGTTTACTAATTAGCAAGCATAAACAAACACATAAAGAAAGGCAACCTGCCCCACAAGTGTTCTAGGCTGGTCCCATGGAGCACATGAACATTCCTAACATACACATAGCATATTCCAACAAGTGTTAAGGGAAAAGAGTAAAAGCTTGTATGAGCACACAAGACAACAACATATAAGAGAAACTTGCAACCAAGATAAGTTCCTGCCTTGGACAATTATCATGTTCGCTTGAAATCATGTTCGAACTTAACTTATCAAATCCATGTTTTCCTCTCATGATAAAATAAGTTTTTTCTCTCATCAATAAAAAAACCATCATCCGAACAACCAATATTATTAATCTCTTAAAAAAATCCATCAATCTTGTCTCTCATTTGGCTACATCATCCTCTTACTTTCAACCGCTTGATCTTCTTAAAGATGAATGTTCGTTTAGGATGGCAAACTTGTCTCTTCATTTGTCTTATAATCCGTATTTTTCAACATTATTTTAGCCTCAATGTTTTTCTCTCCCAACAAATTGATCTTTTTCGATTTTTTCAGGCGAGGGCATGTTTAGTTCCCAAAAATTTTCGTGCGGATGGCAAATGAATCATGCATGTTCGTGTCTTAAATAATCCGTATTTTTTTGCATTTTTGGATTTTTCAATCGTGAAAAACATTGTTTTCTCTAATTACAAATTGCTGTACAAACAAAAAATATTACCATAGCCAAAACCAAAAAAATTTTATGTAAACGCGTCCTGAAACGAACGGGACCATAGCAACGAGTTCATGGGTCCTCCGACCAAAACATAGAACCGGCACTACAGCCTGCAGGGGTACAGAGTACACAGATGCGATGTATTTATTGCCTGTATTCTGCGCTCGATCCCAGTCTGCGTGACCGCATATATAACGAAACAAGTTCAAAAATACTACTACACTGCAGCTTTGGCTAACTATAATTAATAACATCTGTGCAATTTCTTTAAACTGTGCCGATCAAACCTTGCTTCATGTACCTTGTTTAGTTGGCAAAATTTTTTGGAACTAAACAGCACCTGAATACGATAGCAAGGCTTTTATTATTATTTGACAATTAAGTTTTTTCACTAATCAATTTTAGCTAATTAGACTTAAAAGATTCGCCTCTAATTGAATTTTTAGTTGGAAATCACGAGATGAATTAGTTTTATTTTTTATTTATATTTAAAATAAGCTTAAAAGTGCTATTATTCATCGGTTTGAAATTTTTTGCAATTTAAACATGGCCCAAGTTCAAAAATACTACTACCCTGCAGCTTTGGCTAACTATAATTAATAACATCTGTGCAGTGCTTTGCCGATCAAACCTGGCATAATCCGAGCATATTTATTTCAAGAGAGCCAATCGACAAACTAATTAAACTCTCTCTGAACATGAACACGGAGAAGAGAACGTCTGATTACACTCGTCTTCTCGGCCTGTTCCTGGTGCGTGGACCAGCAACAGCGGGCTCCTTCTCCTCCACCGGTACCGGCGGCAGCTCCTCCTCCTCCCCTTCGTCGTACACAATAATGTCGCCGTCGTCGTCTTCCTCGCCGGCGCCGTCCTCGTCGGACGCCTCGTTCTCTTCCAGTATCGCTCGGTTTATTTCCATCTGCGCATGAACGGGCAGCCGTTTGTCCAACTGTTAACACTGTATGTCTATGTCTCTTCAGTTCAGTCATGCTCTCGCGTTTGCCAAGTTGCCAACAAGGAAAGGAATAACCAGATGTACAGTTTTATTCGCAGGTAGAACTACAATCACACACATGGTGCTTGCTACCAATTTTACTTCTACTAATATATATCGACGAAAATCAGCAGAATCTCATTTATTTGCGATGTGCAAATAATAATAACAGTAATGCAATTGGCAGGACGAAGTAAATTAACGAGGAAGCTAACAGCTGATTAGTGGAGTATACGCAGAAATAGTTGCTAGCAGTAACAGAAGCGCGTGGTAGTGGTACTCGTACCGTACCTCCCTTAGGAATCGGTCGTCGAGGTCGTCGGCGACGCGGGCGGCAGTGACGAGCGTGCCGACGAAGAGGGAGAGCGGGAGCACGAACGCGAGGATGAGCTGGTTGGTGCTGGGCGGCCCGCCGGCCCGCACAACCATGAGGCGTCCGCGGCCCCGCCGCCGCGCGCCTCCCGGCAACGGCCTGGCGCAGCTAGCTCGGGCCGGTCGCCCGGAGCACGGTGGCGTCGCGGCGAGACGCGGTGGCAGGGAGAGAGCCGCGAAGTGGCCGCCCCGCGCCATGGGCTGCTCGGCTGCCAGAGGATTCCCCTTCCTTCCTTCGCAGGCTCCCAGCGGGCAGCAGCGCAGCGCTCTTGCCTTATCCGGTGGTGCTGTACTGCTGTTGGCACTTGGCAGGCGCGCGCTTCAGTGCCGTGTGTACGCACTGCAGGAGAGAAGCGGATTGGGCTGGATTGGATGGATGTCACGTTGAGGTTTGCTAGGCCCGCGTACGGCAGACACGGCGCAAAATGGTGGGGGAGGTTTCAGCCCAACTAAATAAGTGGGCTGCCGAAGCAAATATCCAACGATATGGCGCCCTCCTTGGATAGAAGCAGAAACTTTTCTTTGTGTTCATAATTAACCATGGACCATTTTCTAAAAAAAATTAAAGCGTGGGCCGAATCCAGTTGGACTTATGGACTGCCCAGCGAGACTGTGCTTATAAATTCACTTCTCCTATATACGGAAGTATATTTATAACGGTTGTCTGATTTGTTTCTCAAAAAAAACAAAACCAGTTGTCTGATATTTTTTTATTCTTATTCAGGTCACATGTACTTTTGTTATTGTTTGTTTATAAAAAAAAATATGTGAGTTATCTTTTTAATTATATAACTAGTTGGCTCGGCTGTCTAAAAATTCAACCACCTGACAGCAACTCCCTTTAAATAACTATACTACTACTACTGCAAGCGAGATATACTACAGTATTTTTTGTAATAAATAAACAAAAGAAAATTGGCATCACGCAACAACACGTGACATGTGAGGTGTTTTTTCCGGTGGTGTGGTTTTTTTTTGAGGTGATAAATAAACAAACAGACCGCAGGAGGGAAGCGGATTGGGCTGGATTGGATGTCAACAACAGGTGACATGTGTAGGGCGTGACCCAAAGCAGTGTGGGAGGTTTCTCATTCAAAACAGCTTTGTGGTGGGCTTTTTCAACGAAATGGCGTTCCCCTTGTTGGATAGAAGCAGAAATGTGGACCGTTTTTCTTTTAAAAAAAATGTGGGCCGAATCCATTTGGATTTTAAGACAAGTATATAAAAATTTGCCCAACGAGACTTATACTTTAAAGGATTGTTTGGTTGGAGGCCTGGGCACCTTGCCTGGCAAAAACAGATGCCTGGAGTTACTGATGCAAATGTAAAAAGATGCCTAATATAATATAACATAACTTTAACACTTATGATTAAATAATATGAAGATAGATAATTTTTAAATAAGCTTTAATATTGCAAAATAAAATAATCATAATCTAGATTGCCCCTGGTATTGATGAACAATAAAAGATCTCCCATGCGTAGCTCGCGAGTAACATGATTAGAATTGTTTACCGAGCAACCTGTACGGCTGTACGTCATTTGTTGGCAGTAAAAAAAAGGCAATAGTTAATTAACTTGAACTGACTTTAATGCTGTACAAAATGAGCCAGGCAAGTGTTGCAGGCTTGCAGCGCCAGGCCTCCAGGGCTCCATCCAAACATGCCCTAAGACGTGTTTGGCTGGATGGCTTAGAGGGGCTAGCGAGGCTCTAGTAATGCAGCCTCTCGGTGTTTGGTTGCCTGTGTAGCTGCTAAGCCAGGCTCTGGGAAGCCAAAAAGAGGACTTGTGGGCTGGCTTGCTGGAAACGATTTTCCAGGAAGCCAGCCATGGCCAGGAGACATGCGCGTTCATCTCACCGCTCGCCTCGTTCATTCACCTCCGCCGCCTCTTCCGCGTCGCGGCTCCGTCGGTGCTCTCATATCCCCCGCGAGCTTCCGCGCGAGAGCCGTGCGTGCTGCGCGGGGACCTGCGCGTGCTCCACCGAGACCCTCCGCGCTCGCACGCCGTCGCTCCTCCAACTCCTCTGCGCTCGCGCGCCACTGCACCTCCACCTCCTCCATGCTCGCGGCGGCGAGGTCGCCCGGCAAGGCGCAGATCAAAAGCCGCCACAGCGAGGCCGACCGATTCCCCCTGATCCGTTTCGTGTCGCGTCTACCAGGGACCGATTCCCTCAGGCTGAGCAGCCCCGGCGCGTCCTGCGCACGCGCCATGGCCGCCGCCGTCCTCCTCCGCGCGCACCACTGCCGCAGTCGTCGTCCTCCTCCCTCCGCGCGTGCCGTCGACCTCCTGAAGTGCGCTCCGTCTTCGTTTCCCCTCGCGACGAGGACACAGTTGAGCATGCCCCTCGCGCTTCTCCTCCTCCTCCGCGCGCTCGCGACGGCTGCAGGCCGAGCTTTCCTCTCCGATGTGCTTCCAGGCGGCGCGGCTGCCGACTCGTGCGCCAAGGGCGCGGCGTGGTGGCCTGCTGCCATGGTCGCCGAGGAGCTCGCCAAGCATGCCTACCACTTGTTCGATTAAAGTCCTCAAACGGTGAAACCATACAACCAAATACACGGATTTCTAGTCAGGCTTAGCCAGGATAGGCAACCAAACATATACTGCTTACATCGGCTAGAGCTGGCATGTCTTAGTTTTGCTAGCAGGAAAGGAACCAATTACTGCTACTCCTCCGGCAAGCTAGAATTGGGGTCATTTTATATCAAAAACAAAAACAAAAAATTGGCGCGATGATATATTTCATTTCTAATAAATAAATAAATAACCAGGAGAAAATTGGCATCACGCAAGGATATGTGACACGTGAAGTGTGCACATTCCATCCCACTACCTCCTTCCGGCCGGCGTTGGGTCGCCATCGGCCGTAGATTCGGACGGCGCCGATCGATTCACCAAGTGGAAAAAAAAAAGGGAAATGCATGGCGCCACCGATTGAAATTCGCACGAGGGAGAAACGTAACCTGCCCACCGCCCGTCAGTCTCAGCCACGATCTGAGTAACAACAACCGAAACAAAGCGCGGTTAGCCGCCGCCCGGCGTAAACGTCCTCGGTGATCCCCTGACGGCGACGTCGACGTCGACGTCGAGCGAGATCGCGCGCGCCGATCCCGGCCTCTCGCTTTCGCGGTCCCAGTCCCAGTCTCGATCGCCCGGCGGCCGGCGCCATCCGGCCAGTTGCGTGGTTGCCCTCGCGCCGCCGTCACGTCGCGTCACCTAGCTCCTCGTCACGCACGTCCCCAGTGGCCAGTGGCCAGTCCCCACCCACGTACGTGCGTCACGGGTCGCGCCACGCGTGATGCATGGTCCGTGTGTAGCCGGTGGCGTCACCGCGTCGCGCTCCCTGACGTCAGTGCACTGCCGGAGCTACAGGGTTGACAGGGTGGGCCACGGACCACCTTGTAGATTTGGTCCAAAGTGTAGTACCCTCGGTATTCGGCCATGGACTCTGCTGGGCTGACCTAAATGCTTCTGCTGTCGAATTTCGATCGAGCCTAAAGACGAAGTCCAAGCGACATCCGCGTCTCCCCGACTGGCGCCTTGGTCTTCCGAGTTATGACTCCAACCGTTCAAACTCTGTATTTGCATCAGCAGAGCAGTCGTCGATCGTCTGGCCAGACGTCGGAGTCAGAGGCAAGGCTAGCAACGCACAACCTGTATGTTGATCTTGATATCCTTTCTTCTTTACTCGAGTTCTATCACGTTTCTCTCTCTGTGTATCAAGTGATTAACCCCTAAATTGCTAAAGTGCTAACATGAGATAATCATTTAATCAACAATTATAGGTACCTAATATTTCAATTCTATGTTAAGAAAGTTACATTCATCTATTTTATGAATTTTGTATGCCTTTTTTTTTAATTGTGTTTTGTAATTTATATACTTATGCACCAACATGTTAAATTTATAGCGGCTAAAAAAAATTTAGACAATAAACCACCATAACTACAAATCCTAGCTACGCCACTGCATGAGTGTGTATATATGTGCCGGCCGGGGCAGCTAGCCGTGCAAGAAAATTCATTAGCAGTAAAGTACGTAGTAGCTAGATGGCCAACGAACACGTACCGAGAGTAGTCATTAACCGTAAGACACATAATGATCGAAGAAAAAGCTAGCGCCTGTTTACTCTGGCTTTTCGTGTTTGCTCTCGTAGCGGACTAGCGGTAGTATGTGCATGTTTACAGGGACCAGTGTGCGTAAGCTTGAGGAAGAAAAAAAATTAGAGTAATGTAAAAAATGGAAATTAAAGACGCCGGTCTCTGGTTCAGTGATTCTCATCTTCCTCTGCTCTGGCTGCTCTCTTGTTGGTACCACTGAGCTACTGCTGGGACTTCGACGACGACGACTACCAGCGCAGGGAACAGCGAGTGACAGACGCTGGCGGCAGCACCAGCACTCCAGCAGGCAGCAGCACGGCTTTGCCCTGTACTAGGCTGTACCTCGGTGACTCCACGACTCGGCCAAGGGGCAACGGGCCCGGCACGTCTTCTTGTCCTACCCCGGCGCCCTGTTGAATCATCAAACTTGCAAGTACGAGTACGTGTACGTCAGTACGTACACAAGTTGACCCGAGTTCGTTGGGACGTACGGAGCCGCTGGAAAAATCAATGATTCTTATTACTAAATCCGTTCTAAATTCGTTCGACTTTCTTTACCCACTCGTCTTATTCAAAAATTCATGCTAAATATTACCTCTTTTGTTGTGGCTTATTTTATTAATAAAAGTTTTTCAAGAACAACTTAAATTTGATTATGTTTATACAAATTTTTTAATAAGACGAGTGGTCAAATTTAAAGTCAAAAAAATCAAATAAATTATAATTTAGAACCGAGGGAGTACTACTCCTCTTATTTCTTCTGCACAGGTATCTGGCGTCATTTTCCTAGTTTTTTTTAGGAACGCGTCATTTTTCCAAGTAGTAGTACTATTAAACCCACACAGTGTCCCTTAAACCCTCTACTATAATCCTCGTTCAACTGGGCTGGGCCTTCTTGGGCCGCTTCAAATATTGAATGGCATATATATATATATATATATATATATATCAAGTTTTCACATATATGATTCTTTATTGAACATACTTCATTAGTGTTATATACATTGAAGTATCTAAGATTTTTTAAAGAAAAAACTACATACGTATACACACACGGTATAGATACAATCATGATCATATATATTAATAACTACATCAGCC